AAATGACCATGGTCTCACTAATCGCTGTCAGGCATTTGTCAACTTTGCCATTGGACGATTATTAGACAATTAATCGAAAATATTTAATAAAAGAGTTTACCTCAGATTCCAAACATAACTTAGAATAAATCCAAATGGATTTCGTAGCATTTAATTCATAAAAAACTCACAAAAATTTATTGTCAAAGTTAACAGATGCCTGGCAGGGATTTATGTGACCATGGTCATTGGTTGCCGTGGATACCATTTATTCAAAATCACTATTTTTTGATTTCAGCGTTGTGCAGTCCTCAGTTTAAATTAAAATATCTTTGAAACGGTCCATTTTAGGGGTATTAAAGGTTATGCGTTTTTTAATCGAAATTGATTACTCTATCGATTTGGGCAATAAAAAATTGGTGTTAAGAGAGCAAAAAAATGGAAAAACACAGAAAATGCGACCTGCAACTGCTGCAGCCGGAAAGTGAGTGGATGTATCTGGTTTTCGTGATTACCAGTTTAAAGGGTATGTTGTCACAGGGAAATGTTCCAAATTTTATAATATTTGGTCAAATAGTTCCAAAGTTATTACAAAAAAATCAATTTTCCATACCCACATTCCGAGGGCTGTAAAATTCTTATCAGTAGAGATAGGACACAAGTTATTATTTAAATTAACATCATTTTATAGGTCATTTTTGAGGTTCAAATATTGCTTCATATTTATGAATAACCCTGTATACTCGTATATTATTCCGTCTTACTTTTTGTAATATGCAATTTCTGCAATGTTGTTTTGGTACCAGTGGTAAATGTTTTTGTTTTTACTATAGACAAGTGACCTAGTATTTTTTTATGTTCCCAATAAAAGTTTGTGTAAAAAAACGTAAAAAAAATATATTATTGCAAACCAATGAAGACCACAAAAATGTATTTTTTTGCATACCTAGTGATTATGAAAGTTGAATTTTCATCACGATTAATCGTATAGAAATAGAAAGTTATACTTTTTTAAACGATTTCTATAGTTGCATTTCTATAGTTATTTACTTATTTCTATAGTTTCTATAGAGTTCGTTACAAAGAGCTTGCGATACATTACGTTTTGATTTATCAAATTGATGTCTTTTTGGACTTTGGGTTCTTGATGGGGTTATCACTATGCAAAAAAATGTTGTGTACAACTCGGTTTGAAAGTCCTTTTTTCACTCATTTGCTTAATTAACTCGGACAGAGCCCTCGTTAATACAAATAACTATTTTTAGATAAAATATACAAACTTATAGAACCTAAGAAAAGTAACACTTATTATAGGTTTGAAAGACCTATATTTAGGTTGTAAGTAAAATATATGTCGTAGTCATTGGGCGTAATGCGTCATTCCGCGGAAAGCCTAGTCATTGGCCGTACTGCCGGCAGAAGCTGTAATCAAATGAATATTCCTTTGTTTGACTGAAATTTTACGTCATTTCAGGGATTGCCTACTTAATTCTCGTCAAACAAAGTAACCGGATGAACCATTACATGTTACAGCGTTTGACGGAAGTGTATTTAGTCATTTGCTGAAAAGTCTTGAAATGTTTGTTACTTTCTGTAGAAACGTAGATTTTTGGTAGAAGAAAAGAAAAGCCAAAATAACAAAAGATTTTTATTGTAGCAAAATATTTGTTTCGTTTATTTGGAATAATGTAAATATATAATATTAAAAAACGTTAAGTACATGACATGAACAACAAATAAAAATATATTTCTGCATTCAGGAAAATTAAACAAAAATAAAAATGTATTCTTTAAACATAACATAATTGAAAATGTTAACTCTAACAATTGTAGGTAGGTAACTATAACATATTAGGTATATGTACATGTATTTAGATTGTTATTTATTTAAACACGTAGCACTATTGTGGCATGTAGAATTGCACATCACTTTTTTTTAAAAACACACACAGCGATTTGTTTGGCACTGTTTTTTGCCTACGAGTTTTTTTGCCAGTAGTTTGTTTGGCAAGTAAAATATCTTTTGCAGCCTAAAATGAGTACAATTAAAATAAAGGTGTATTTTGAGGTTAGAAGTCTTTTACCTCCTTCATTTCTTCATAATTCCAGGGTTTTTTGGCATCTTTGTTCTTCAAAAAAATTTCATTTAACTTGTCATAGTACAAACTCCTATGATTATACATTTTCAATAGGACAATTACTAAATATTACGGCCCGAAATACTACACAAGCTTTCAGCAAATGACGAAATAAACTTTCGTCAAACGCTGTAACATGTAATGGTTCAACCGGTTACTTTGTTTGACGAGAATTAAGAAGGCAATCCCTGAAATGACGTAAAATTTCAGTCAAACAAAGGAATATTTATTTGATTACAGCTTCTGCCGTCAGTACGGCCAATGACTAGGCTTTCTGCGGAATGACGAATTACGCCCAATGACTACGACATATACAGGGTGCGCCAGAACTCGCGCCCCAGAGAAAAATGCGATATAAGGTAAGATACCAGGAACATGGAAAAAATGTTAAAAAAAAATTATCTATAAAAATTTCGAAGTTATGAGGATTTAAAGTTTACACTTTGACTCTATTTATTTCTGCTGGAAAAATAATTTTCCAAGGTTTTTTGCTATAGGCTATTAAAAGAGGAAACAAGGAAGCTGTATCCTAAATTGTAACTCTGTTCTATGTTATTTGTGGCTTTTATTGGCAAAATTTTTGTCCCTTTACTAAATAATTGTAAAAAAACATTTACAAGATCATCAGTATCCTTAAATAGATATAAAAAAATGTCAAATGTCAAAAAATAAATGTCAAAATTTTTTGACATAGAATTTTTTAAACATTTTTTTAATGTTTCTGGTATCTTACCTTACTTGAAAATTTTCTCTGGGGCGCGAGTTCTGGCGCACCTGTATGTATATTATACGAAACCGATACTTCGTAGAACAAAGTGGTAAATAACATTTAAATTTCAAAATATGCACTGAGAAAAACGAATAGTAACAGCTAAATGATAGTTTGACTAAGAAAAGTTTAATACTAACTAATCCATGTATGTTCTCAAGCAATAACCAACATTGGAAAATAACATGTCGGGTTTTCCATTACGTTATTGATTTATTATTATTGAACAAAATATTCTTTACGGTATTGTTATTTAGTATGTAAACTATAGATCGTAATAAATAAGTAATAATTTAATAGTTAATAAATCTATTTAAATTTTCGTTTAGTCAATAATGGTATTTTCTTTACATGATAACCAATGGAAACGATTATTCAACAACAGTTTATTCTTTTTTAACCACCATAAAGATCTTAACATATAACAAACGGAACTTCAAATGTAAATACGTAAATATTACTTGGAAAAATTGAGCGCGTCATATCAGTGCGCATGCTCACCACAAGATGCAGTTGCACGTTGTGTGTGGTGAATGTGCTCCAACTTTGTTCGAACGAATCTTTACATGAACGAATAGTTTAATGGTCATTTGTTTTTTCTGTTGTATTTGAGTTTGTGTTTTGAGGAGTGCAGGAGTACGGTTGACTAAAAGTGCCAAAAGCGGCTGAAGCAGTGGCATTTTGTAACACTGCTACAAAAATTTGAAGGTTAGTATAATGATATTTACAATCGCCGGATCAGCCACCACCAGAAATTTTTAATTGCAACACGCTATTAAGATAAAAATATTTTTATGAGCAATAGATTCGAGCAGTGGCTGATTTGGACTGTTGCAAACTACATTCTCCATAATGTTATTTCAACTGCAATAATTTCATTTTGTAAATTATGTAGTATGTTGTCGATAAAAACTTTTGTTAAATATTAAGCAATTATATTTAATGTTAAACTGATGGAATGTAACTATCTACTTCTTGGTTTTTCTTATTCAGATGAAGGAATGTCATATGATATTTTGCTGGATCTTGTTCAGAGTTTCCTTCCCCAGCTGGTGCCAAAATTTGATGACCAATTCAAATTGATGCGGCATATTAAAGAGTACAAATCTGCATCTTTGGTAAGTTTTTCAATTTTGAAGCCTATTTTTTAAATTTATGAGTGTTAATGCAGTGATTGACGTCCTGGCATCCCCGTCCCCGTGCAGACTAAATACATAATTTGTACTTAATGATGTTTTAAATGTTTATTATTTTTCTTAATAAATTGTTCTAAATAATATATGTACAGTTTTATTTTTTTGTTAGGTTTATATATCTGCTGGTGGCTATACTGATTAGCAATCCGGTATATTTTTACCTAAAAAATATTTTTCCCTTTAAGATATACTTCTTAACTATCAAGAACACATCTTTTAATATCTAATGCGAGATTATTAATCTTTAATGATCCTTGTTTCTTGTTAATAAATATTTCTTATTATTAACACTGCAATGATAATATTAAAGTAGATGTTAAGTTTTTATAAAATCAGAATCACTTAAAAACTAAGAAATGCTATGTTTGGAAATTCCTAACAAATTATTTTTTCTCTGATAACAATAGTTTCTTCCGCCGTATTCTAAAAAATTATTAGTTTACATTTAAGATAAATCTTTAACTAGTAAAAAACTGTTCTCTCAGTGTGTAATAAAAAAATAATAAAATAAAGAAATAAATAAAAAGAATAGCTTAATATTTATATTTACAACGTTCTCGATTGATGCATCGATACCTTCCTAATTGTCCAAAATATTAGGTATCTCTTTAAGAAAAGTTGTTTTTTTTTTAAATTTTTATAATCCTTCTCTCAGAGAAAAGCTAAATTAAAAGTCTAATGCCTACAAGATCTATGAAAACAGATGAAGTAGACAATTTATGAACAGAAACTACCTCATATAAACAAAATCTGGGGACCGGTAAATAATAATGATTTCATTTTAGATATAACAATTAGGTACATAGCATTATCAATAATTTATGATGTTTTAATATGGTTCTTTATATCTTTGTCTTTTATAAAATGCATCATTGCACTACGTTTAATATTTTTTTCTTCTTTCGAAATTATGCTTACCGTCTTTTTGACTTCTCCTGGACAAATCCTGAGCAAGATCCAAATCAACACTCCCATCCGAATCCGTGTCTCTACAATTATTCACTTGATACTGTTGATGCGGCAGTGCCAAATTCCACGCGATACTATTGTTCCTCTTTGGTCCACTATCACTCATCAATGCCTCTATAGAAAACGGTCTCGGCACCGGTTTCGTCAACGTTTCACCCATCGTCGGTTTCATGATCGTTTCACTAGACGGCACTTCCATTTTTTTACTTAAATTCACATCGGATCGAAAACAAACTCGATCTTAAGTCGGAGCAACGTTTCCACACAAAAAGTTCCACTGACACTGATCCGATCAAAGCCAAGTTAGTTTTGTAAGGGGTGAAGAGATGAATTGGGCGTATTCTTGTCTCAAACTCCTCCCTAGTTAGTCTGTTGGTTCTGGTTCGACCAATCACGGAGTGATAATCAATGTTGGCTGCTAAATCTGTTAGCAATATTAATTAGCTGGGGGAATTTATTAGGATGTAGCGCAATTTGCCGCTTACTAACGACGGATTTTAAATCCAAGCAAATGAGTTGCCGATTTTAGAATATACGAGCGAGAAAGTTAGTTATACAAGAAGTTTCTTTTTGGGTATGTGTGCAAATTTTTGAAATTGTAATGAAAAGCAAAAAACATAATATCTATATACAAAAGTGTTTAATTATTTTTGGTGCATTATTGATCACCATGCATGTAACTATCATGATCATGAAACATCATGTAGGTACTTCAATTATTACTGATATCCATCATTAATCAATTTTTTAAATAAATTGAAAAATCAACTTCTTCAACATAGATATACTAAAAATCGAGCAAAAATTAAAAATAAAAATTTTGTTGTCGCCGTGGAAAATTGTAGTAATGGCTATAGTTGCTCAGACTCGCATTCCGCTCGTTTACTAAACTTCATTTCCACGATAGTCATCAGTATATACTAATAAACCTACCTTCTTTATTTAAAGGTAAAAAATAAAAAAAATGTGTCTCCATTATTATACAGTGTGTCTCCGGACAGGAGTGAAACGACTCTTATAAAACATAAAAATTTTGGATTTAATTTTTGGGGTACAGCTCTGCTTGATTAAAAACTAATTTCTAACGTAATTTTATTTTTGTAAAATCAAGTACTTAAGTATACTTTGGAAATTTTCAAAAAACCTATTTTTTGGTAAAGTGCCTCTTATGTGGCAAATATGACAAAAAGTTATTAAGAAAAGTTGTTTAGAATCAATCAATCTAGGCCCGTATACCAAATTCAAAATCATCGATCAACTATGATTTTTCATTTTTTTTTCAAGATGGTTGCATCATCTAATTTTAATCAATTTTTTTATTTTAAATTACAGTTTGTTTTTATTTTTATATTATTTGAATGAATAAATTATATGCAGTTATAGGTACATAGTATGTGTTCAAATTATTATCTAGCGTTATATTTATTAATTTTAAAAGCTTACTCGTGATCTAATTAATTAACTATTGCCTATTGCCCCCCCTCAAGAAAATTTCAGCCCCTAGACTGTAGGTTTGATTTTTTTTTTTTGGATTTTTTCTTCAAATTTATAGATATAAAAATAAAGGACGATATAGCAGCATGCGCTTTTGACCAAAATTATTTTCTCAAAAAATTAGCGTAAAAATACGAGTACTCTAAACTTTTAAAGTTTGTAGATTCACTTTGCAGACATTAGGTATTGGAAATGCACCATCATACGGAATTTTAAATGGTATTTGATAAGCCAAATTGTGTACTTTGGAAACGAGCATTTTTTTCTTAATTTAGTAATGCAAAACAGCTGAATTGAAAATTATACATCAGGCTAGATTATAAAAAACGCTCCCTTCTATAATAGACTAAATTTGATTTTTTATCCTTCTAGACAATTGTTTCCTGTTTCTGCTATGAACAGAGCAGAGACGTCATAAATAATTTTTGTTTAATTTATTGCATTTAACTTTCTTTTATTTTATACATAAATTATTCAGACAAATATTTTAAGACTCAAAATATAGCCTATGAATTATTTAAATATTTATATAATCTTTAGAATTCTGAGTATTAAGTCAATAAATAACCCATCAGTTAATAATTTAAACTAAAACTATTCGAAATTTGTCCATGAAAAATTGAAAAAGTAAAGATTCGTTCAGTGGCTATTTAAATTTTAATGAATTTTTAAACGCCACAATCTGAAATAGTTCCGTTGAAAACTCGACGACAATAAACGTGGTACCCTAATGACTAAAGAAAGAAAATTACTTCGATGCATCAATAATTGATAGTAATTCCATAAAACTTACTGTCGTCTTATTTCAGTTTTAATTACTTTATTTAATAATCATTAAATAGTTGTTCTTCGTTTCAACGGTAATTAGCTATTTGTTCTATAAACGAGCGTTCAATTAATGAAATAATTACAAGTTTACTTATAGTAAATTGATGATATCGCATGCTCGTTTTCTGTATCAATCATTCATGATAATTGCTGTATGTCTTTCTAGAACTGTACAAGGGAAAAACACATTTCACCCTCGTCGCCACCACCCTTATTTTTTTCTCGAATAATAATTATTGAATGTTTTATGTTTTTGTTTGCCCGACAATAATATTGCACTGAACTATTTAAACTTCAACAAGGTGAAGAAAGTTAAGAACTGGAGCATCGACAAACTGCTATCATCATAATTAACGTAAATTAATTCACTTTCTCTATTATTTATACTGTTAAAAAAATTGAAAAAATATATTAAATAAAACTATTAATTAAACAAAGATATACCTAATTAAGTTTGTTATTTTATAGGTATAATAAAAATGTTTAAATTTTCCACATTTCCATTAAAAAATAATTATTTTTTATTAATAATTACTATTTACATGTAGGTATACCTATACATATTTTGCAATTTTTTTGTTCCGACTATTTAACTTTGAGTTATTCTTTGAAAATTATTTAAAAAGCTTCAAATTGAAAAAAAATATTTTTTAAAAGCCATTTCTGGCTTTCATATGTCAAATTAACATTTTTAACCAAGGAAGATTGAAAACTGTCAATCAGGTAAGGATCTTGGGATTTGTCGGTGTCAGTTTGTTTCGGTATTATTTTTACGTTACAAGTTTGCGTCAAACCTAAACATTTTCAGGTTAAATTGAAAGCCGCTGTTATTTTGCCAAATCACAAATTTTATCCGACATACTTTGTAAGTACATATACAAGGTGCGCCAGAACTCGCGCCCCAGAGAAAAATGTCAAAAGCCGGGGGCAATAGGTCGCCAAGAAGTGCAGCCGAAGAAGTAATTTTTGCTTGCATAAGAAAGTTATTCGACTCTTAAATTCACCAATCCCAGAAGGGCACCACAGGGTGTGAATAAAAAATTATATCCGTTGCTAGGTTACGAAAATAATACCAATTTTCCCAGAATTTTAAAAAATAGTTGGTCTACTGTAATTTTGCGTTTAACATTTATCGTGATGTGGGTGACATAACCTGCTAGTTTCCRGTATTTTTCTCGCTGAAGAGGTTGTACACGAGTATAATGAGACAGAATCGTTAATTATTATCAACAATTATCAAAAATTATTTTGAAACATTCTGGAAATTCCTGATGAACCGACTTCCCTAAAACTTTTTCACAGGTATTGTTCCTTCTCAATTTTTTCTTCGATCTAATACCGATAAATGAATTTTAGAGCTTGAAAACTAGTGCATTATCCTTAGAAACAAAGAAGCAAGTGAGAGACCAAAAAAAATATGAAAAAGTACGCAAGTTTCTTTATCTACTTTAATGCAAAATTAACAGAAAGATGTACTTTTTATAAGAAATTGTGTTTAAATAAAACAGGTTACTAATTTTAATATTAAAATTGTAGTTTTACTTTGGTATTTAGGAATTTTTTCCCAGTAGAGAAATTCTAATCTCAAAATTTTGCAAAATCTTCCACTCACATGAGCTTACTACAACCCCTTGACTGCTTTTTCATTAAAAAATCCAGAAGAATATTGCGATGTTTGTATTTAGTACGAAAAATTAGCATTTTTGCTGCCGGAACGTAAAATCCAAATGTTTTAATTCCGAGGGCATTTCAGCAACGCTTTTCGGTGAATTTGTGGGGTAGTCTTTTGAGGAATCACGTGGTTTGTCAATAATATCAACTAATTTCAACATAACGTGACTCCCTTTCTAAAAAGTACATTTTTCTGTATAATTTTGCATTAAAGTAAATAAAGAAACTAGCGTACTTCTTCATATTTTTCTGGTCGGTTCATCAGGAATTTCCAGAATGTTTCAAAATAATTTTTGATAATTGTTGATAATAATTAACGATTCTGTCTCATTATAATCGTGTACAACCTCTTCAGCGAGAAAAATACTGGAAACTAGTCGGTTATGTCATTCACATCACGAAAATTAATAAATGTCAAACTCAAAATTACAGTAGACCAGCTATTTTTTACAATTGTGGGCAAATTGGTATTATTTTCGTAACCTAGCAACGGATATAATTTTTTAATCACAYCCTGAGGGGCCCTTCTGGGATTGGTGGATTTAAGAGTCTAATAACTTTCTTATGCAACCAAAAATTACTTCTTCGGCTGCACTTTTTGGCGACCTATTGCCCCCGGCATTTGACATTTTTCTCTGGGGCGCGAGTTCTGGCGCACCCTGTATTATTGTATATTATGCTCAAAGCTATAAATTTAAAATAGTTATTTTTGTTACAAGTACCTAAAATACAGTATATTTGCAGACAAATCGTTGCTGTTTCCGGACGAGGCGAAGTCGAGTTTGAAATAGCAGATGGGTCCGCAAAAACGTTTTAGGTTACATACGTGTTACAAACAACATTTTTTTGTTAAAATTTCCAAGAAACAAATTTACACTTCTTGTTAATTAAAAAATTCTTGCCACCATAGTAATCAAATTGACTTTTTCGTCCGGAAAATCTGTTTTTGGGGATGAGTCACTAAAATAAGTAACTAAAATAACTCTACGTACTATTTTATTGAGTAGCGAAAAAACTCATTTTAGAGACTCAAATGAATTCATAAAACAGCTATTTTTGAAAGCGTATACAAAAAAACATTTTTTTAACACATATGCTTTGAAAAAAAATAATTAAATGATGTGCTTTGAATGAGTCATTAACAACAAACAAATCATTACAAAGGAACACTTTTTTGTAGAATGCAATAATAATATTCACTAATTTTTGTAATTATTTGTTTGGCACTAATAAGATATAACATATTTTTTT